AAACTCAACTGGCCTTTCTTTCATTGTCAAAAGCTTCTTGAAATCCACATGCTCTTGAAAGTTTATGCAAATCTTGTCATTAAAGAAGATCTACTGCACCTCCATAAAACTTAACATGAGAAACCATTTTATTTCTATAAGATTCAGAACCTTATTGTCCTCATGTCTTCCTAAAAGAAAGGCTTTCATTTGTGATGTTCAGTGCTGCTAGGTAATATGTGCTGAAGTTTTCAGTTTTTTGCCAATAATACATCAAAGGATAGGTCAGAGTTATATGACTCTTAATTTTAAAAAAGTTTTGGTTTTTTATAAAAATTAATTAAACCCTAATAAATGAAGATGTTAATTCTACCTTGTTCAATTTACTCAACATTCCATGGGTGAATCTGGTGACCTCGGAATTTTAGATTCGTAGAATCATAGAATAGTTAGGGTTGGAAAGGACCTTTAGATCGTCAAGTTCCAACCCCCCTGCCATGGGCAGGGACACCTCACACTAAACCGTGTCACCCAAGGCTCTGTCCAACCTGGCCTTGAACACTGCCAGGGATGGAGCATTCACAACTTCCTTGAGCAGCCTGTTACAGTGCCTCACCAGCCTAAGAAGTTCTTCCTTATATCTAACCTGAACTTCCCCTGTTTGCTATTCCTTTTCAATGATTTAAATGCTTTTGTTTTTTTTCTTTTCCCTTTAGAAAGCATAATTTATTCCAGCAGATTTTCTGTTATAAAGAATCACCTTCCCTCCTTCTGCTGGCCAGACACCAGGATGGAAGCCTGAAGGTGACAAACACCGTGTACCTTCCTCTGCCAACTTGGCAGGAGTGCAGCTGTGGGTTTATGACTATATTATAGTCTCCATGCAGCCTTCCTTCTCTTCTCCAGGCTGAACAGCCCCAGCTTTCTCAGCCTGTCTTCATATGGGAGGTGCTCCAGCCCGCTGATCATCCTCGTGGCCCTCCTCTGGACTTGCTCCAACTGTTCCATGTCCTTCTTACGCTGAGGACACCAGAACTGTACAGAACAATTTTCTCTCCTTTGGATAGTTGAGATCAGGTGTGACGCTGTGATGATGAGATTGTTTCAGAGAAAAAGGGTCAAGAATCACTCTCAGAATTCTTCTCTAATCTTGGTCTGGAGATGTCATTAATGAGAATCATATTAGTGTGCGTTCCACTGTTTGCTTTCCCATCAGATTTCCCTATTTATTGAAGGACACTAAAACTGCAAGAGACCCTTGTAGTCTCTCATGAAACTTAAAGTCAGTAAACTTAGATATCTAAGTATGTACTAGTTTGCTTACTTTTAATGTAAGAGTTCTGGGGCAGGGGTAGCCCTGTATTCCAGGACTAGATAGACAGATACGTAACAGACAAGGAGGTGCATGGCCTCAGCACTATGCATCTACACTGCAGATTTACATTCCTGTGCTCAGCACTGGAAAATAATCAAGTAGCCCCGTCTCTCTCACTATTAAGACATTTCCCATCTAGCTGAACCCATTTTAATAGTATTTATGTAAAGCTGGCACTGGTGAACAAACCTAGGAGAGAAATCTGGCCAAGCACTGCATTGAAAAGTTTCTAGGGGGCTGATGTGTCTAGGAACTGGGTCTCCAAGGTACTAGATGAGGCGAACAAAATGGATGGCAATTAAGAACCCTAGATACCCAAGATTTTTTCTGAAATTGTACACCTCTAAAGGAAGGCCATGTGGGTACTTGAAAGTCTTCAACATACTGATTACGTTTAGTATCTTGCCTTTCTATTGAGCATCCTGGAGCCAGTCCTGTGAATATGTACTCTGACAAAAATAATTCATTCTAGCATACCCCCTGGCTCTAGTGGCATCATTTATTTGATCAGTCATTCAGCCCAAGAGGAAGAAATTGCCTGATCAGTCCAAAATGGTGGCAGGAATAAGAAATGCTTGTAAAAAGCAGATACAAGTAACAAGAGATAATTAGAACAGGACACGTATAAACAGAATCTCTTCTTCATGCTTCATACGTAGAAACTTATGCTTTTAGGCCATTTGAATATCTTCTAGGAAGATTGATCTATAACTTCTGATCATTTTCTGTTGTTTTCTGCATAAGAAAAATATGCAGTTTCAAGCATCAGTTAGATTTTCTCAGCTATTTTAAAGGCTGTATACATCTGCAAAATAATATTTGTTATAAAAGGAGAATAGTACATAACATACATGTTAATTGCAATTCAGAGTCTATATATTATTATTAAAGTTATTTCTTTTATGTAAATAAAAACAGACAACTCAAAACAAAATTAGGATAACTTGTTGATTGTATTAAGTAGATTTATGAGGATTTTATATGCATTGTTCATCATTATCCAGAAACTGATTAAATTAAACTTGTATTCAAGATCCACTGTATACAGAAATTATAGAATAAAAAATGTTCCAGTGTTTTCTGCATAAATAAGATATCATCACATATTTTTCAGAATATGTTCTCACAGAAGATAAAGGTGACTTTTCTGTTAATTTCCAAAGTTGTCTTATGCATAAATTAACATTGGATGGAATTAATTTGTCATTGTCTTTCAGGGAAAAACATCTTCAAAGTACCATGTAGAGCACGTAGAGTTTGTTTAGGCTAAAATGTAGACTTATTCCAGCATTCCTCCTAGGAAATTACTCTGTGGCCAGTCCAGACTGTAGAAACATATGGAAGACCCTGAGGAAGGTGGAGATGGTGAATGAAGTGTAGGTGAGCACAGAGCTAATGCACAGACTGGGGGGCTTCTCTTTTTTCCCCCTCAACCTCCTTTTAGGACAAAATTAATTAATTAATAGATAGATAGATAGATAGATAGATAGATAGATAGATAGATAGACAGACAGATAAATAAATAAATGACAGGTTATGTGGCAGTAATGGAAGGAAATTAATGCCAACAGCCTCTCTGTGGAATGCACTGAAGGCTCAGAGACGTGAAGGAGAGAATGCTTTGAAGAGACAGCTCCTCAGCAGTTGGGCCTTTTGAAAGGCATTTATAGGATTAAGCCCAAAAGGATCTGTATACCTGAAAAATATTGCTGTGAATACAGTGTATTGAGCGGGCCATAAACTTTTCTCACATTCATCTGAGGTTCCTATCACTACCATGAGCTGGCAGCCTCCCAGGTGTAATTGTTTAGACATTCAAAAGACACAGAGTTATGCAGATGTTGAGCAATTGCCGATAAAGATCAGATTAGCTTTAGAGGGAAAAATCCCAGTAGCCTAGCACACTATCATCTCCATAACACAAGACTAATTTTAACCTAGGAAGTTAAACATTTCCAGAGAAGACAAACAGTACAGAAACACAAAATGGGGTCTGGAGATTAAAATAACAATGCCAAACACAAGTGCATGAAAGCCAGGACTTCAGTAAATGGTTTGTTTCTGATTTTTTTATAGTACAATCTTCAGAGTAGCTACAAGTACCTTTGAGTTTAGTTTATCCTTTGGCCAGCTGTATCCTCTTTATGTTTATGATCAGCTAAAATACAAGAAGTAATATACATCATTTACCTCTCACCGTACTTGTGGGAGACTAGCTGCTGTGGGCACAAACCACTACACTCTTACATGACCCTACTTGCTATAGGGCAAGCAGGCAAGCAGATACACTGTCCTCATCTCTGATACATCTCTAGTATCTTGTGTCCACAGAAGAAAATCATGGACATCATGTAGAAACACAGTGCAAATAGAGAACCAGACTACTAGTTTGCCTGCATTGCTTCAAGTCAGGAGTCATGTTGTTCTGCATTATTCAGGTGGAAAAGGCTAATAAAGAAGGACCCTGTGCTGCGTAAATACGCAGGATGAAAAGCAGAGGGATAGAGAGAAAGGAGGCACCAACTCAGCACTGACAGAGTACCGTCACTTAGGCATATACAGGGTGGAGAATGAGGTGTCTAGCTGTGGATAGAAGATGTTGCTGAAGGGGCTACAGGTAACTAATAACAGGAGTTGAAAGGTAAATCTTGTGTTTCATTCAGCAAAGTAAAATGGTTTCTGATGACCTACTTCACACATCTTCAGTCTGTCCTGCACAGAAGGTAAAGTGCTGCAAGGGATTCCCTGCAATATTTCCTAGACGCTCTGAAAAAATGCCATTTACTCTTCATTCTTTGTCCACACAGGAAACACAGAAAATCTAGAAACCATTATTAGTGTTGTGTTTTTAATATACTAATGCAACAAGTACTGTTAATACTCACAGGCATTTGGAAAGGGACTATCATTACTCAGAAGGGATTACAACTTAGCAATATAATTTCTACAGTATGGTTGCTTAGACCTGAACACTATTCCTTCACCCAGACACTTTCAATTTCCCTCCAACAAACATCCATTTGTCCAAATCTACTTCCAAAATAGCTGGTTGTTATTCAGTTGCCAATTAATTGTCATGTTGCTACCAATTGTAACTAATTGGTCAGGTCTAAAAAAGAACATCATATCACTGGTACCAAGGCTGATGCACAGGCTCCTGCCTTTAATAAATGAATGATGACTTTACCTTGTCTGCTTTTCTTGAAATCAAGATTTGTTTTACTGAAATTTATTTTAATTGTATTTCATTACTGAATATCATAAAAAGAAGTAATAAAAAGATATGACATGTTAGTTTCCCCTGCAGTGATGTGAAAACACATCTTATTGCATTTATAATCTTTTTAAGCTATAACTTTATGATCAAACAGCTGTTGCAGCAACAAATTTTATCTTCATAATCTCAGCTGGTGATTTCTCTTAAAAATTGATAATATCTTTTGTAATGCAAAATGATTTATTATACAAATAGGTACAAAACATAGATGTACTACTAAAACAAAAGGACAGTGCTGGCACAAGGACAAATGAATATAAACTGATTATGAATAAATTTAGGCTGGAAATCAGAAGAAGGTTTCTAACCATCTGGGGACTGAGGTTCAAAAATAACCTTCCAAGGGGAAAAAAAATAAATAAATCAAACCTGTACTGGGGGCTAAGGAGCATTTAATTTCTGGAAGAATTTGATTCCTGCTGTCTCAGCAAATGTTGCTTTTGAAGGCATATGCTCTTCTGCGTTCTTGCTCAGTTTAGGAGGATCTTTGAATCAACTGCCTTTTGAATTTTCCTTCCTTCAAGTTACTCTGTCCTCGACACTGCAAATCTGTAAATGAGAACAGCATCCTTTAATGTCTATTTTAACACTTTCAGAAGACTTTTGAGTTTTTAATATTTTGCCATGAAGAATTGGGGATCTCTTCCAAAAACCCCATGACGTTTTTGAGAACTCCACGTGAGGGAAATGACATTTCACACCTGAGATAGGCTCGTTCTTAAAACTCTTGCTCTTCACTGCCTGTTCTAGCATTTTACACATCTTTTTATCTCAGTGAAAGTTCCTATATTTATGAAAGGCAATTTTGTCCCTGAATAGAAGATTTAATTCATGTTGTTGACTTTTCTCATGGTCTCCTTTGTGTAGACTACTCTAGCCAGAAACTAAAATTCTGAGATGGAGCAGTGTAGATAATTCAGTGTAATTTGTTAGATACCTTTTTAAATGAGCAACTTCTTTCTACATGTAAGCGAGCCTTCCCTTCAGCCCATTGTTTCCTTATTTCAGCCTATACTCACAAAGCATTTGAATTTCTTACAGCACCTTCCTGTTCATCCTAATAACAGAAAAAGACTGTACTCATGCGACCTGTCACATCATTGCCATTCCCCTTCACTTCACTTGTTTTTTTTTAAATTTTAAATTTTATCTTTTTTTTTTTTTTTTGTATTTTTCCTCATTTCATTGTGCTATACCTCTCCTTGAAGGACCACAGCATGTTTTCGTGGTTGCTATTGTCAGCGTGTCAGGTCTCTGAATGCATTTCCTATTTACCTTCTCTTCCTGCACCAAAAGATAGTTAATTTTTAATGAGAAAGTCTTTGAACAGGACTCTTTATCATTATGAAAAATGACAGTAGTGTTTTCTCTTCTTAGTCTGTACTCCTTGGAATATATATTCCTAGAAAATTTATTAAGCTTTTCTGATCATAAACCTGCCTGTTGCCTCTGATGCAGAGTCAGAAAATCAAAGAGCTCACACATTCACAAGACATCTGTTTAGGAGAGGCTATAACTTCCACAGGCTACAGACCTGCTGAAGATGTACTAATGCTGTTGCTGGCCAAGTGTTATGCTAAAGTTCCTTTGAAGCCACTCAGCTCAGTCTTCTCTGTGAAGACCTGAAAATATTGTAAGCACTCCGAGTTTGTACTTTCCCTTCACCTCTCCCTTTATTCAAAGTTTACCACAACCTCCTCCTGTACAGACACACATGCATGCATACATAAAAGTTCCCATACAAAATCTATAGCCATGTATCTGTTGCTGTAGTTTAGTCACCTTGCTCACTTTGGACACGTTATTTCAGGAATAATGAGATACTGTGAACAAGAGTTTCATACATAGGATTGTAGATTACTGGTGATGATATCAAAATGTCAGCAAAGCCCACATCTCCCTGTTCTGCTACAGACTTTATTGCAACCCTCGTCAAGCCAGCACTTCAGTTCTTCCAATAAAAGGTCCTCCATAAGGGTATATGAAAAATAAATTCACCATTGATTGGTTAATGCTCAGGTGTTACGCAGACAAGGAAGCACAAACCTTCTAATATAGTCTTCCCCTGAAACAGAAAATTCTGGTTATTTTCCTAGATTGTGGTTAGACAACCAGCAGAGTTTTTTGAATGCTTACTTCAAATTATTTGAACGTTTCTTTTTTCCTGGCTCAATTAACTTTATGGGGAAACCAGTATAATTTTTTTTTTCTGAAATTCAACTTTTTGAAGAGACAAAAAGCATATTAGAACTTGTTCCTGTCTTTGCAGCCATTATGAATGCAAACTTCCTATAGTCCATGGTCTCTAAGGCCAGTTATTTGTATTTGTTTGCATAAATTTGGCTATTATTTCAAAATAGGCAAGTTTTACCCTTCCTTCAAAAACTAACTTCACCTGCAAATAGAAATATTTGCAGATTTTTAATACATAAAGATACCAAAGAGAACATCCTTAGGGGGTTTCTGAAACGGAAGAAAGTTTAGGTTATTTATTTTACAAAATAAATTGCTGTTCACACATGGTAGAGAAGATATTCTACTTCAACTTCAAAATAATCTTGTTGAATTCATTAAACATTGCAACATCATGGTTTGAACGCTTTGTAGACTCTATGATAGTGTAGCTCCTTCAGAATTATTAGAGTATCACCAGATGTAATGCAGCGTAATCTTATTACGCATTGACAGCTTACACCCTAACGGCTCTGATGGAGCTGTTATGATGTATTGCGTCATACCCTAACAGGGATATAGTACCAAAACCAGCTGTATCTTGACAAACTCCACACAAACTAGATCTGAAGGATCTATGGCTCTGCATGTCGATAGTGCATATAAGCTAAAAAAGTTTACATAAAATGAAGAATTAAGTGCCCAGGAGAGGTCCACTTTAGTAATGATAATATTTTGCTCTTATCTAGACTCTTCTGTATAAAGATCTTGAAAGACTTTGATTAATTGAACCTTACCAATACCTCTGCAACCTTAGAAATGTTTTAATATCCCCCATTTCACACTGAAGCATGGGTATGCTCTGTAACTTGCCAAGGTCACCCTGCAAGCCTGTGACTGGGAACTTGGTGCATCTTGCTTCAGCCCCAAGCCTCAGGCAGAGAGTTCATCTTTTGCTATTGTTTAGAAATATCAACAAACCTGAATTGCACGCAGTTATCATGTCATTCAAAGACCATTTAGTAATGCAAATTCATACTAATTCTAGTGCTAATTCTTAAGCCCTAGTAGAGGATAAAACTGGCCTTTGCCCTTGCCTTTCTTTGATACCATTCATTAAATTTAGACTGGTGATATTATTTGCATATAATTTTTGGAATTTAATTTTGGGTGAGGGTGAGAGCAGAAGAGAGATTTTGTATTCTCTTGCAGGTTGGCTCAGAGGTGTCACAAACTGTGCTTTTACATAATTTAATGAAGTCAGTGTGACTGTACAAAGGACTGCAGGACCATAAAATATAAAAAGAGAGAGACAGTTGAGGTGCAGAGTAAAATGAGATTCTTGTACTAGTACAGTCTTTATGCTTTTCCCATGGGGAGCTGAGGTTTTGAGCCTTTAAGCTTAAAACAAGTGCAATATTTTAGTACAAATGAATATTAAAGCTGGGTGGAAGCTTCTGGTCAAATAGAAAAGTGAGTAAGAGGCACATTGTACTTGCTCTTTGCTAGTGTTGTTATACAGATGCAGGGTACAAACAGGCAAATATTTTCACTGTAGTTGGTGAAGAATGCAACCAAGAGATCTGTGCAAAACCCTAACTTCCTTCTCGCTGTGCTACCTTTCAGCATAAAATTTGATGCAGTAACTCAAATAATCTGTGTGCCAACATTCTTCAGAAACATGCCTCTTAATTTTCCCATTCAAAGCACTAGCCACCAAATACTGCCTTCCACCAAGACAAGTCAGAGGAAAAAGATTCCACTTGGCTTCCTCCAAGACTCTTGGTAGGCAATCTTACTGTCTTTATTCACACACAGTTATGACAGAAAGAAGAGTGAAAGACAGATACCTGAGAGATGACTGCTAGTATTTTAAAAGACATTGGCAAGTGTTTAGAGCAAAGACCCAATAGCTTGTCTTTTTCACATCATTATACTAAACTGTAATTGATACTGTAACTTATGAGAGGCTTACAAAGTCACATAATATCAAAACCTAATGAGCAGTTTAATACAGGTGTTCCAGAAGGTATAAATACAACACTTGACAGATCACATCCACAAGAGCTGCTTAATGGTCAGTACAGGAGCAGCAAAAAAGGCACAGCCTAAGGGGATGAGAGACTAAATAAATGTTAATAACATTTCATGCAGCATATACATGTATACTTTCCCAAGAGAACTGCAAAAGGATAAAAGGATGAAGAGATAACAGATATCCCAGTGGCTGTTTTATACTGGGCTCTCAATTTAATCTAGTCTGCTTATTAGAGGAGAGGAAATAATTCAGAAAATATAATTTATTCAACATTTTTTTTCTCTAATCCAAAGGAAAATTTTCTCTGATTTGTTTAGTATTCCAAATTATTACAAAATGTTTTCTGCACACAATGCTTGGTCTGAAATGACTTCTGAGATTTGCTGTGTAAGTATTCAAATAATATTGGGAAGGCAAAGGGAGGAGAAAGAGAGGGAGAGAAAGAGATCTGTGCTTCAGTGAATGTCAAATGAAAATCCAAGTACCTGATTTAAATTTAGCAATCCATTGAGTCATACTGAAATTTAATATTACTACCTACTGATTATTCAAGAGTGCAAGATAACAAAGTAAATTTACCTGCATATTACTATTAATACCGTGAGTGCTTTGTCTCTATAAGCCTAATTATTGCTATGTGGTTTATGTGAGCATTATTTTCTATCAAATCTAAATATGTATATAATAGGGTTTTTTAAACTATTAATTTATTTTATAGGAATGTTTTCCAGTGTTCCCTTAGGAGACTGCAGGACAGAGCTTTAACATGTTCCTAATTTTATTTCTATTCCAAACAGCACAGAAGCACTTGCTCAACTTTAAGACCATATAGAAGAACCATTGATTTAATTGCGTTATGTGTTGTAAATAAAAGTTACTTTTTCAGGAAAGAGAAAATGGTATTTAGTCTTTTTTTCCACAGTTGCACTGTAAATTGGAATATTTGACTATTTTTAACTCTCCATGTAGAATCTTTTTCACAGGTTATTCAGCTAAGCATAACCATAACCACTGAGTAATTTAGATGTTATCATTATCAAAAATGTTTAAAGGTATTATTAAAATAGTACAACTGTCTCTAACTAAACAACCTGACAACATATCCACACCAATCTGGTTAAAAGAACGCATTAGGCATTCACTAAAAGAAACCACATACAAAATTCTTTGGCCAAATAAAAGCAAGGATAAGTAAGAAATGCCCTTTAGGAACAGGCTAGTGCTCATCCAACCTAATATACTGCCTCCAGTAAGAGAGGCAAAAAGAGAGCACACAAACTTGGCCGCTTTCTGCAGTTCATTCTCTTCATACATGTCCTTGGTGTCCAGAATGCTTTCA